GGCTCTGCTCAAATGTCACCTTCCCATAAAGGTCCTCCCTGTGTACCTCAGAGGTCTATAGAAACGGGCATGGTCTGCTCACCCCTGTGTGCTGGGCTTAGATCAGCCTCTTCAGAATGTGAGGCAGCAGCCATGTCGGGCAGTGTCGCCTCCTGGCCTTCAGCTTCCTGATCTTGGGAACTTAGTTTATCACTGGATGTTTAATTGTTTGTTGTCTAAGTCTCTCTCCCCTCCCCTGTCTCTTTTGCTAGGCCTTGTATCCTGAGTGCGCAGAACAATGCCCAGCACATTAGTGGCACTCAATATGTACTTATTAAATGAATGAATAAATATGTGATGCAAACAGTAAACTGTACAATACATAAAGTATCTCTGGGTATGTGGTTAACATACAATAAATGTAACTGGACCAGCCCCATCTTAGAGCAGCAGGGGCCCTTCCATTCTCCAACCAGAATGAAGCAGCTACCCACAGAAAAGACAAAAGAACCACCTCCTCCTGGGCAGTACTTAAAGCAGCTCTGGGCGTGGGTAGCTAATTTGTGTGTCATTAATCTGAAAACCCCTGGCTTTACAATTTTTTCAAAGTTATTGAGAAACCCTTTACCTTTCGGTGAAGATAAAAGAAAAATAAAATATGGTTTTGCATCTCAAAACCTGAGCTCTCAGAGATTCCTATAGAGTTTAGATTCATGGATTGCCTGCTTTAATTTGTAATTATAGTCTTATCATGCATTTACTAAGTATAATTTACTATATTTATATATTATGTATTTATATCACATTTCCTGCACTTACTGTTTTCTTTAAAATGTACTCTATTACTATGTCCAGCTTAGAGGCAAAGATATGAATCTATAATTGCGATTTCAGATGTGGAATGATCCATGTGAACGTGAGGAAGACACACAAAGAGAGAGAAGAAAAGGCACGGGGAAACTCAGAGAGATTTGAAGCTGACAGTTACATTCAGGAAGATGTCCCTCCTTTAAGCATGGATCTGGGGAGGAAAGACTAGAGAGGAAGGCCAGGGGCCAGAGGCTACTACCGGCACTGCTGGGCGTCCACATGTGGACAATCTTGGAGAAAATGACAAAATGGGTCAGGGCAGAGGGTGACAATTAGGAAGGCTTTATTTGTTGTTTACCATTCCTTAAAAGAAACTTCTGAGTTACACAAACACTTTTAGCAATATATGTCTGTGCCTTATATGGAAACTGATTAATGATCTTGAAAGCCTCAGAGGCTGCTTTAGAGTTGTGTTTCCAAAATAGAAAGTACGGTGAGATAAGGAGAAGAAATCTTTCTTCTCATTTATTTCTTTCAACAAAGATTAATAAGCACCTACTATGTTCCAGAAGTTATGCTCATTGCTAGGGATGTGATAATGAACAAGATGCAGGTTGGGCCCTCCAGGAGAACGCTCTGGTTTTGAAGTGTGCAGAAGTGAGGATGTGAGTGAATGATGATGACAGCGACCCTCTAGTTCCCTGATATCTGCTCCCTCTTCAGTAGCACATGGTCTTAAAAGAAGAAAAATTTAGGTTGAAGATTTTAAAATCCAGGTAAGCTGAGCCAGAAATATTTACTGAATGGTGTCAGGGTTCTCTCTGCTTTTTCTGTATGTTCCTAGGCTCAGGGCAAATTGAATGGGGGTTGGCAGAGAAGCTGTTCAATAGCAAAACTACAGAACCAGCCACACATACAGGACACCCCTGTTTGGCTCAGCCCCTCTTCTTCCTGCACTAACTTGGCTTAAGGGGGCTCATAGCACAGAGGGCCAGAGAATCCTTCCTCAGCTAATGGAAAAAGAGGTGCAGTAATCTTTTACAAAGCTATTATTGCTATGGAAACCATTTTCACCATTGCCATGTCCTCCTACGACATTCAAAGGACTCGCTCCTACTTTAAATCAGAGCATCAGTACCGTTCCACCAGGCAATGGTATTTTTTCAAGAAGACTGCCTTGACTTGACCACCCCCTCCCTGGAACAACAGTGCCCTGGGCCCAGAGGGAGGTGAGGGGATTGAGGAGTGGAGCAGCGGCAGCAGAGGCAGGGGGAGGCAGGATGGGTGATGTGTAGCCTTAGCCATCCAGGAGTATTTCCACAGTGAGGAGAGACTCCAGGAAATCACAAAGCCTCCTAATTCCAAAACCCCATCTTTCCTTAAGGTGCTGCAGCATTTGAGACCAAGTCTATTCCTTTCTTCTGCAACTTTTTCCTCTCTGGGCAGCTGTGACCAAGTTAGCCTGGCTCCCCTCCCAGTGACTCCTTCTCCATAAAGTTCCTAAGATTGTCTTCCAATATTAGGTCCAGGGATTGAGTGGGTGGCTGGCAAAGGAGGGCAAACCCACCCACCTCAGGGAGACTCTCTTTGGCCAATGTGTCCTCAGATTTTTAAAGTCCCTAAGCTCTGAGAAGATTGCGTTCTCTCTCTTTCTCTCCACCTCCCTTCTCTCTCATACACACATGCACACATGAAATTCTATGTGTGCTGAAATAAAATATTTTCAGACTTTCTAAATGTAAAATGCTACCCATTCAGAATTCATCAAAGCGAGACTTTCTTTTTCCCTTCCTGGGGTCCACCCACATTTGGCCTGTTGAGGAATTCCACTCAGACCAGGACACGCTTCCAGACTAGTAACCCCAAAACAGCAGCAGATCCTCCCTGCATAAAAACCCAGCTACTCTTGTAAACTTGTTTATCGACTTCGGAGAAAGCCAATTTTAGAGCAAAGTCCAAGTCTACTCAGAAATACTCAACTGATCTGCAGATCACGGGACTTCTGATAAGCCATGACACACCAACAAACCACCACAAACAGCGCACAGAACTGACCTTGACTGACTGCAGAGCAGGAAGCTTGCCAATTTTTTCCCCAAGCATGCTGCCATTTTGGTTTATCTTCTAAGTTATACACTGACCTCATCTACACACTATTCTCTAATTTATTCAGCCGGCTAGGTTACTCTATAACTGCTCAGGCGGTGGGCACTGTTTCATAGACAGATTTTGCCGCACCCCTCTCCACCCCAAGGGAGTGTGTGTGGCACATGCATGGGGACTTAGAATCAATACCCACAGATACTCATTGCTATAGACTGAATGTTTGTGTCCCCCCAAAGTCATGTTATGTCCTTACAACCAATGCGATGGTGTTAGGAGGTAGGGCCTTTGGGAGGTGATTAGGTCATGAGAGCAGACCCCTCATTAAAGAGATTAATGGCCTTATATTATAAAAGAGACCCCAGGGAGCTCTCTTGTTCCTTCCACCATGTGGGGCCACAGAGAGAAATTGACTGTCCATGAACCAGGCAACCTTCACCAGACACTGAATCTGCTGGCACCTGTATCTCAATCTTCCAGCCTCCAGAACCATGAGAAATAAATTTCTGTTGTTTATAAGCCACCCAGTTTATGGTAGTTTGTTATAGCAGCCCAAATGACTAAGACACTCATGTGTCACAGTAATATACTCACGCATACCGTAAATCTACATGGACTCATAATACCTTGTGTTTTTCCCACCCCAAGTGCAAGGGAAGAATTATCTGAGCATCTATTTACCATCTGTCCTCCTCATCTACCTCCAAGTTCCAAAGGAAGGACCTGAGCCTGCATGATCCTCTGCCATGTCACTGCCTGGAAGATTCTCACTGTTTGTGAAACAAACAAACAATACACAGCTATACACAGATGCGACCAGCTCACCTGCGTGCTGCCACATGGTGTTCAGAATGCCCTTTCATCTTATTATCTCATTTCAACTTGGCCATGCCCTGTGAATCAAGTGGGCTGGCAGTTTATAAATAGAGGCTCTGAAGCATTAAGTGACTTGCCCAAGGTCCCACAGTGAGAAAGCAGAAAAAGTTGAGGCTTGAATCCACTTCTCTGGATTCCAAATTCTTTATTCTCTCTCCCACACCAAGTGGCTTCCAGTAAACACACACACACACACACACACACACACACGCGCACACACA